TCAATCTCCTGTATCTTTCACTATCTCCCTCGCATTTTGCTTGCCTTCTCTCCTCCGCTATTTGTAAGGCCTCGTTGGACAGCCACTTTGCTTTCTTGCATTTCCTTTTCATTGGGATGGTTTTCGTTGCTGCCTCCTGTACAATGTTACGAGCCTCCATCCATAGTTCTTCAGGCACTCTGTCCACCAAATCTAAATCCTTAAACCTGTTCCTCACTTCCACTGTGTATTCATAAGGGATTTGACTTAGATTGTATCTTACCGGCCCAGTGGTTTTTCCTACTTTCTTCAGTTTAAGCTTGAATTTTGCTATAAGAAGCTGATGATCTGAGCCAGTCAGCTCCAGGTCTTGTTTTTGCTGACTGTATAGAGCTTCTCCATCTTTGGCTGCAGAGAATATAATCAATCTGATTTCGATGCTGCCCATCTGGTGATGTCCATGTGTAGAGTCGTCTCTTGTGTTGTTGGAAAAGCGTGTTTGTGATGACCAGCTTGTTCTCTTGACAGAACTCTATTAGCCTTTGCCCTGCTTCGTTTTGATCTCCAAGGCCAAACTTGCCAGTTGTTCCTTTTATCTCTTGCCTCCCTACTTTAGCATTCCAATCCCCTATAATGAGAAGAACATCCTTCTTTGGTGTCACTTCTATAAGGTGTTGTAAGTCTTCATAGAATTGGTCAATTTCAGTTTCTTCAGCACCAGTAGTTGGTGCATAAACTTGGATTACTGTGATGTTAAAAGGTCTGCCTTGGATTCGTATCGAGATCATTCTATCATTTTTGAGATTGCATCCCAGTACAGCTTTCGCCACTCTTTTGTTGACTATGAGGGCCACTCCATTTCTTTTACGGGTTTCTTGCCCACAGTAGTAGATGTGATGGTCATCCGAACTGAATTCGCCCATTCCCGTCCATTTTAGTTCACTGATGCCCAGGATGTCAATATTTATTCTTGCCATCTCATTTTTGACCACCTCCAACTTACCCAGGTTCATGGTTCTTACATTCCAGGTTCCTATGCAATATTTTTCTTTACAGCATTGGACTTTCCTTTCGCTTCCAGGCATATCCGCAACTGAGCGTCCTTTCGGCTTTGGCCCAGCCGCTTCATCAGCTCTGGATCTACTTGTACTTGCCCTCCGCTCTTCCCCAGTAGCATGTTGGACGCCTTCCGACCTGAGGGGCTCATCTTCCAGCGTCATAACTTTTATATGCCTGTTGTCTTTGTCCATGGAGTTTTCTTGGCAAGGATACTGGAGTGGCTTGCCGGTTCCTCCTCCAGGTGGATCACGTTTGGTCGAAACTCTCCACTATTTACCTTTACCTTTACCGTTATGTAATGTTTATCCATTGGGATGTAACAGATTCGAATTCAATGCGCAGAAATTGTTTAAATCCTACTTGCATTGATCTGTTGCCAGTGGGGCAAAAGCTGCCACAAGTCTTGCGTAACTGAATATTTGTATGCACATCTACAAGCCAAAGTGTTTTAAAATAGTGGCAATGATCACCTAGCTTCTTTTGTTTTTAGAGAAAGGGTCTGCAATTCCTCCTTTCTCCCCAGCTAACCCTTTCATTCCAGACTTGGGATATTGCGAATGCCTTGATGAAATAGGTCAGGAGAACCTACTGTACATCTGCTTTCACTTACAAATATCTGTAAAAATGCACCCACTAATTACAGGGGCAGCAATCTTGAGACTCCAAAGCAAGAATTTGATAAGCCCTTCTGAAATGGCCCATCTTGATTTCTTTTCCTGGAATTGGAGCTTTTAGGTAACGTCCTGTAAGGAAAAAGGGACCACCCTCGATTTCAGAGAGTACAGTTACATGTGGCCCTTTGATTACATTTTAACAGATGGCTGTATCAAAGTTCAAATCACATAGCCAGCAGTGAGCCTTTTATTCCACTGTTGATTCTAGAAAAAGAGCCTCACTTTTTTATTTTATGTGTCATGCAGCGACCCCACCCCCACCCCCGGGGTTGCCCCTTGCAATTTCCTGTATTGGTCACATTGGGGGATCCCACCCAATTAGGAATCAAGTACTGAAAGGATGATACCATGATACTGCTTAGCCAATCCGATTTAGCTATGTGATAATGTTACCAAAGTGAGGCCAATTTAAATGAGTAAGCAAGCACGTTTAGAGGGAGGGCCAAAACATAATGAAACAGGGATGTAATTCTCAGCACTTCAGAAAAGTGGTCATGGAAAACATTTAGCAGTTTCAGTTCAGCCATAACAATAACTTCCTCTTTGTCTTGTTTTAACTTGCATGTTTTGTCTCTGTCATTCCAGCGGGGGGCTGCTTTGCCTGAAAACTGCTAATAAGCAGTTTTCTTAATGGGCTTTTATTATTTTATTCTTGTGTTAGCTGTTTTGACTTTTTGGGTTGCACACTGGTATGTGAGTTATGGAAGGGTATTAAATAAAAAAACACACGAATAACATCAAGTTATGGCAAAGGCATAGATGTAAGAAAGACATCTGTGCGGCAGTCGCCACACCCACCTTTGCAAAGCAATGCCTGAGTCCATAAGGGCCCATCTCAGATGTTGCCTTGCAATGCCTTGCTCTCTGAGAATGGACATAGCTTTCAACCGCTCCCTAGAAGCTGCGAAGTCATAGTGGTGGCACTCCTAGCCAGTGACTGACAACCAGTGCCGGTTTTACATATAAGCTAAACAAGCTATAGCTTAGGGCCCCACTCTCTTGGGGACCCCCAAAAAAATTTAAAGGAAAAAAACCACTGGATGTACATTTCCAAAATATAAGATAAAAAAGAAATAAAATAAAACCTACATACAGCGGGTGGTGGTGTGGTCTAAACCACTGAGCCTCTTGGGCTAGCCAATCAGAAGGTTGGTGGTTCGAATCCCCGCGACGGAGTGAGCTCACGTTGCTCTGTCCCTGCTCCTGCCAAAAGCACATCAAAGTGCAAGTAGATAAGTAGGTACCGCTCCGGCGGGAAGGTAAACAGCATTTCCATGCACTGCTCTGGTTCGCCAGAAGAGGCTTAGTCATGCTGGCCACATCACCCGGAAGCTGTACGCCAGCTCCCTCGGCCAGTAAAGCGAGATGAGCGCTGCAACTCCAGAGTCGTCCACAACTGGACCCTAACGGTCAGGGATCCCTTTGCCTTTACCTTACATACAGTAACAGTGTTTTGTGTTGTGTAGGCTCCTAGAATGTAAGTAATGGCCCCTGCCTGCTAGCCTGCTCCCTAAAATATCACTTCTTAATTGTATTTCAGTTCAACAATCACTCTGATAAAATACATACAGTACTTTGTTACGTGCAAATGGCTTTAGATACCTATTAGGTCCATAAATTACCATATAGCATATATTCAACACAAAAAATAGTGACAATTTGTTGTTGACAAAGGGCAGCTGGACATATAAAGGGCCCCGTTACCTTCAGTAGCTTAGGGCCTCATCCAACCTAAATCTGGCCCTGCTGTCAACCTTTGTGCTGGAATGAAGTATGGCATCCAGCAGTTACAAAAGAGCAGCATCAGATTTAGGGCAGTGCGGGTGGTTCTCCCACACAGGGTGTCAAGCCGAGAGGGTGCAAAATTGGGAAGGTGCAGAATTGAGACGATCCATTTGGGGGAGCCAAACTTGGCCTGGCTCAGAGTGCCATATTAGCAAAGATTACCAAAGACCACCCCTGAAAATAGCTTGCTTCAATGAAAGAGAAAGGTTTCCAGCGGTCTTTAGAATCATAGAATCATAGAGTTGGAAGAGACCACAAGGGCCATCGAGTCCAACCCCCTGCCAAGCAGGAAACACCATCAGAGCACTCCTGACATATGGTTGTCAAGCCTCTGCTTAAAGACCTCCAAAGAAGGAGACTCCACCACACTCCTTGGCAGCAAATTCCACTGTCGAACAGCTCTTACTGTCAGGAAGTTCTTCCTAATGTTTAGGTGGGATCTTCTTTCTTGTAGTTTGGATCCATTGCTCCGTGTCCGCTTCTCTGGAGCAGCAGAAAACAACCTTTCTCCCTCCTCTATGTGACATCCTTTTATATATTTGACCATGGCTATCATATCACCCCTTAACCTCCTCTTCTCCAGGCTAAACATACCCAGCTCCCTTAGCCGTTCCTCATAAGGCATCGTTTCCAGGCCTTTGACCATTTTGGTTGCCCTCCTCTGGACACGTTCCAGTTTGTCAGTGTCCTTCTTGAACTGTGGTGCCCAGAACTGGACACAGTACTCCAGGTGAGGTCTGACCAGAGCAGAATACAGTGGCACTATTACTTCCCTTGATCTAGATGCTATACTCCTATTGATGCAGCCCAGAATTGCATTGCCTTTTTTAGCTGCCGCGTCACACTGTTGGCTCATGTCAAGTTTGTGGTCAACCAAGACTCCTAGATCCTTTTCACATGTACTGCTCTCAAGCCAGGTGTCCCCCATCTTGTATTTGTGCCTCTCATTTTTTTTATCAAATCAGTGAAATGGCTGGTAATCCTTTCCCATTGGCCCTTAGTGTAATACTGTATTGGGCTGTTGCTGTTGTTGTTGTTGTTTTAATCAGAAGCCCTACCAGAGTATGTGCAAAATGGTAATTCACCTTTTAGCATGAACCAGAGTGGCTGTAAGTCACATATGGAAAAGATAGGCTGCTGGGATACACCAGGGGTCAGCAGACCTTTTCAGCAGGGGGCCACTCCACTGTCCCTCAGACCTTGTGGGGGGCCGGACTATATTTTTTGGGAGGGGGGTGAACGAATTCCTATGCCCCACAAATAACCCAAAGATTCATTTTAAATAAAAGGACACATTCTTCTCATGTGAAAACACGCTGATTCCCGGACCTTCTGTGGGCCGGATTTAGAAGGCGATTGGGCCGGATCCGGCCCCCCGGGCCTTTCTTTGCCTACCCATGGGATACAGTATATGTATTTAGAATGAGAAAAAGTAGACAGGTGAAAAGCTATTTTATTGAAAAATATGAAGCGATGTGATCTTGGTTTCTCCTTGGTCTGCAGGCCGTCCTTGGGTGGTCTACTTACATCGTCGTATCGGCAGCACCAGGAGTCTTTGGCAGCGGAAAGAGAGAGGCGACGTCAGGAGAGGGAGGAAAGGCTGCAAAGGATAGAGCGGGAAGAAAGAAACAAGTTCAAGTAAGACAGAAAAGTATTTCACGATTTGTTATCTTGATATAAGTAGAGTTGAAAAGTCATTTGCCGTATTCAATATATGCACCTTTCCATCCGTCTTCCTAAATGGTAGCAACTCCACCCTGACCTGCATTCCCACAAGTTTCACCCGTTTCCATTCCCACAAGTCACAGAGTACAAAGTATGAAGTGCATTTCATAAAATACTGCTCTTCATAGCTTTGACACATTTAAATCCCTGTAGCCTTACAATTAGGTGGAGTATCTGGAGTCAGTTGAAATATTATTATTATTATTATTATTATTATTATTATTATTATTATTATTATTATTATTATTATTTAAATTTGTATACCGCCCTATACCCACAGGTCTCAGGGCAGTTCACAGGGTAATACCTGAATGAATGAATGAATGAATGAAACTTTATTTGTTTCAGCCATCGGCCATAGCAACAACAACAAAAATTGCAATATACACAGAACAAAATAAAAAGTTGATTATATATAATACCTTGTCTTCACAGTTTTCAATCCACCAACAATTTTCTTAGGTCTATTGAACAACATTAATTACTTCAGAAGCTGTGTGACCACATACAGATAAATGCTTATTTAAAAACATGAAAAATCAGTTTTCATTGTGTGCTGCTGATTTTCCCCCCCAGTAATGGGATTTGCTTGGCAGAAAAATCACAGTTACATTGGTAGGATTAAATGTGTTCAACTGGTGAGACCTACTTCAGCATCATTTCGTTATGAGATTTGCGTGTAAATTTGCTTAACATAGTGCAAGATGATGCCCTAATAATTTCCAAAAGAGAAAAATAATTTGCTAGTTCTGTAATGAAACAGAAAAGCTCAATAACTTATCAGCGACTAAGAAGTCAGTAAAGTCAGAAGGAGACAAAAGAGTCCCCAGCCTCTGGCCTGTTAATGAAATGGTCATCTTCTATGTAAAGGGAATATTTTTGTGTGGAGGTATCTGAAGGGATGTCACCCGGACAATAAGTTAGTAAGAACTTGCCCTTTAACTGTCACCTATCTAAGAATGGAGGGAGGCGGGTGGCGCTGTGGTTTAAACCACAGAGCCTAGGACTTGCTGATCAGAAGGTCGGCGGTTCGGATCCCGCGACGGGGTGAGCTCCCGTTGCTCGGTCCCTGCTCCTGTCAACCTAGCAGTTCGAAAGCACATCAAAGTGCAAGTAGATAAATAGGTACTGCTCTGGCGGGAAGGTAAACGGCGTTTCTGTGCGCTGCTCTGGTTCGCCAGAAGCGGCTTAGTGATGCTGGCCACATGACCCAGAAGCTATACGCCGGCTCTCTCGGCCAGTAAAGCGAGATGAGCGCCGCAACCCCAGAGTCGGTCACGACTGGACCTAATGGTCAGGGGTCCCTTTACCATTTACCTATCTAAGAATGGATTCTCAAGACTGCCTCCCACAGTGCAATTCACATAATCTTTGGAAAGAATCTCCGATTGGTTTTAGCACCACCCCATGAAATAAACACCTGAGTGTTAATTGTTCCCATTTCTATGGTGGCTGTACACCTCAACAAATATCTGTGTGTGTGCGTGATTTTTTAAAAATATTTATTTTCTTATTTTTTTCACCTGAATAAATCTTGATACCTTTCACAAGACGTAGAGCTCAGGTCAAAAGTTGATGCAGGTTGGAGACTTAATGGCATTTGCTTAGAGCATGGCACTCATAGTGCCAAGGTCACAGGTTCGATCCTTTGTCCCACGCCAGGATTCTGTGACATATTCCCCTATGAAAAACATCAGTTATCAGCATAGTACCAAAGAAGTGTGTGTGTGACAATGTGTCCTTGACATTTAAAAATTACACCCATCACCACAGATTTCTCTTACCAAAGAATGTATTTGAATCTGAGTTATTTTGCTTTAGCTGCTTTCATTTCTTTCACTGCTTGCTATGTTCTTCTTTTCCTGCTTTTTATTTAAGTTATTTTCCCTGTAACTTTGTGCACCTCTGTTTCATAGTCGTAATTATCTAGACAAAAGAGAGGAGCTAAGACAAGCAAGAGAAGAGAGGTCGGTACTTAACACTGTTTTTGGCCCTTTTTTTTACATTTCTTATGTCATTTATTGAGAGATGCATGGTTTTGTAAACATGCTTCCAGTTAGCCTTGTAAAGAATGGCTTAAATCAGAAATGCATGTTCTATTTCATTCTGGCAAGCACAGCCATGATAAAGGAAGATGTTCATTACTGGATAATGGGCATGTAACAAATAATTGTTTGGATTGCAGAGAGAGAGAGAGGGAGAGAGAGAGTTCTGAAACTGTCAGCCAAGACTTTCAGCTACTTCACAAGAAGCCTATAGCAGAGAAATCTGCAAAAGAAGTGGCTTGGGAGGTCTGCTGAGTTTGGAGACTAGGTTTGATTCAGAACTTCCACCAGACCTTCAGCTGGCTGTTGTATGGTTGGAAAGGCAAAGGAAGGACAGCACTCTATTTTGAGTTTTGAGAAACTAAGAATCCCATGTAGAGAGCTTCTACAGCCATAGTTAAAAGTCACATAGCCTCAATAATACGAGAGCAAAGTGCTACCTGCAATTTTTATAGTATCATTTGCAGAAAGACAGGCTAACATGACTGCCTCTTTAAACAGATAGGACATATTGATCATGTTGCACACATTGCATATGTTCCCCATCCTTCAGTCCAAACATCACTTCTTCTAATAGTGAAGTCAGGCGACGAGTTATGGAAGGGTTACTGAGAAATAAGAGGTTTGGTATCAACGTGCTTGGGAGAGCCCCAGGGTTTCCAGAAGTACAAAACACCATTTGGAAAAAATACCTAAAACTGCAACCTGCCAAAAGACAAACAGAGGCTGGATAGAATCAGTCAGGTCATGCATCCATAGCAGTGACCAGGGGAGGAATGACTGCTGGGAGGAGTGCAGAGAGAAGAACTGCCATGGTGCATCTTCAGCAGCACAAGCGGGCACTTTCATCTGCCCCAGCTGCAACAAAACATGTCTTTCACTACAAGTCTCTACAGCCACAGCAGGCACTATAGCCCTACAACAGTTTGACTTCACCCTCAAAGGCGAACTCATCCATTGTCTCCTGAGACAGATGGATACCAATCAACCATTTCCTTGCAGCTAGCTAGCTGGTGGCATTGTGGGTTAAACCACAAAGCCTAGGGCTTGCCAATCAGAAGGTCAGCGGTTTGAATCCCCGTGATGGGGTGATCTCCCGTTGCTCGGTCCCTGCTCCTACTAACCTAGCAGTTTGAAAGCACGTCAAAGTGCAAGTAGATAAATAGGTACCGATCCAGCGGGAAGGTAAATGGTGTTTCCGTGCACTGCTCTGGTTCACTAGAAGTGGCTTAGTCATGCTGGCCACATGACCCGGAAGTTGTACGCTGGCTCCCTCGGCCAATAAAGCGAGATGAGCACCGCAACCCCAGAGTCGTCTGCGACTGGACCTAATGGTCAGGGGTCCCTTTAGCTTTAGCTTTACTTCACCATGTTTTAGATAAACGATCCTTTGGAGAAATGGTGGCCAACCTTCTTGGCAAATGTGCCAAAGCATAGGCAGCCCTCCCTCCCCATCCCTTGGAATGGTTTTCTTCTAACCTACTAAGGGAGGGAACAGATGGCAGTACAACACGGAAGAGTCAGATAGCACTACAGGCACAATTCCAAGCTGTAGGCAGACCCACTGGTCTGCCTGTTTCAATCCAAATAGGCTACACACCCCTGCTACCTGTGTTACTTATGAATCCATCTACTCCAGGGGTTGTCAGCCTGGTCCCTACCGCCCACTAGTGGGCGTTTCAGGATTCTTCCCCCCCCCAATACATTTTTATTGTTTTCAACATGTAATTCTTTTTCCAACAATCCTTATTGTCACATTATAATCCCTTTGACTCTGCCGAGTCCTGACTTCCCTCCCTCCCGACCACTGGTATATACATCAGTTTCAGGATTCTAGGTGTGGCGTTAGGGGGTTCTACGGCACAAGCTGAATCCTCCTTCCATCGAGCACTGGTGGGCGGTAAGGAAATTTTACCATCAAGAAAAATGCATTAGTGGGCGGTAGATATAAAAAGATTGACTACCCATGATCTACTCATTTGGGAGAGGTAACAGCTTAGCTCTCATAGAGAATCACAATCTATTGAACTGGCTGTGTATACTGTAAATGCAAGAAACATTTCCTATTTTATAGCCATCCTTTGCAATCACTTTCCAAAATCTGTGGTCACTTCTACATCACATGGAACCCTAATTGCTTAACATTGAGAAAAAGCTTGACTATGTTACTGAAAGTGGTTTTGCACACCCTTGAAACCAGATCCTGCAACGCTGCATGTGGCATAATGTTTGCGAAAGATATCTTCGTATCTGCAATGGCTGTGCACTTGGAACTACATGTGTACCCATGTATTGACTATATAATTTAGTATTTACTGAATAACAGGCACTGTTATTTTCCGGGGTTGGTGGCAACGCAGCCTCATCCTTACTGGATGCAATGTTCACTAGCGCAACCTTTCCTTGTTTATACTGGCTCCTAAAAGCGTCCACCCCAAGGAGGAGACTGCATGCTGTGCATTTGCATGATTCACTCATCTTGCTTTCCGGTCAGCTTCCACTGAGATCTGGCAATCTGCTCCATCTCTGCATTAGGCGCAATTGGATCATTCCATCCCTCTTAATGCAAGATGCAGCAGAATCACTCAGGGGAGGCTTCCCATTGCATTTGCATTTCTGCATTAGTCTCTTGTCAGTGTCTACCTCTTTTCAAACAGTGACACGCGGGAGGTGAGGTCCTCTGAGCCAGGTAATTTTTACTCTTTCACACTGTAAACCATTTCAGGTGTAAAACTGAAGCATGCTTCCAGTTTGGATTAAGGGAAAAGTTGGTGAGAATCTGAGAAACAATGCAGCATTGTACAGAAGGAAGATCTCTATCTTGCCCCAATTTCGTATTGTTATGAAATGCTTAGTGCAGTCAGATATTGGAAGCCAAGAGTCTGGGATGCAAGAAGTTAGTTCTGATTCACCTTTATGAGTAGTTCACTTCTGAGTAGGACAAACGGAGTCAGCAGCCTACTTTTACATCTGCATCAATTAATGTACTCCATGGGCAAATAATGGTGGATAAAATTAGCAGACATCTGGAAGACACACATATTCCGAAGCTATTTTGGTCTGAACATATAAAGAATTGTATGGAGAATATGATTGGTAGCTGGTCTTAATAAACAGTTAGCAAGTCTTGCCTGCCTAAAATGCAAAACAGATGTATCTTTGTTCTTTTCAACTGACTTTGATGAATAAACTATATGTGACGTCATATCCAAGCTATTGAATGTCTTGAGTCCGGCCGAGAAATCTTTTAGAATTAAAAAAAAAAAAAGTTTCCATTGTAGACGCTCAAGAGAACAAAGTGAATTCCAGTGCAAATAGAAGCAGGTTCAGAGACTCAGACAGTTCTTAGTCCAAACATTTGTAAGTGGTATTATTTTCTGCAAGATCTATTTTCCTGCGAGGCACTAAAATTTCCTCCCCTTTCTCTTCAGCAAGACTGGGACTGGGTCTTTTAACATTTGGGGATCTGAGAGACAATTTTTGTGAAGGAAAAGGGAAGGGCTTGCAAATGTTTCCATGGGGAAGAAGACAATTTTCTTCAAAGTTCAGCATCTGAGGACTTCTTAATATTATCCTTTTGTTCGACATCAGCACTATAAACGTCGCTGGGTTTTGCTTGTTTTTCTCCCCCCCCCCCCGCTCTGGTGCCTTCCATCCCGGCCCCCCTCCCACCAAAGTTTAGCCCAGCAGTCAGTTTTGCTGTGTACCTCATGCGTCAGGAAGGCAGAACTTTCCTCGCAGGTGCTTCAGCTATAAACAAGCACCAGCAACCGTTTTCTCCTTCTTTACGAAATCCCTTTGGAATTTGACTTCCAGATACAAATACTTGGAGAAATTGGCAGCCGAAGAGTACGAGAAGGAGCTGAGAAGTCGGAGTTTATGTCGGGGCAAGAGTGACTTGTCCTTGAACTTGGGCTCTTCTTCAGTCCCAACCTCTCCCATTCCGACATCTGCGAGCCCCACTTCAACAGATTCTCAGGAGGAGCCCAAGTCCCCTGTGACAACTCGCAGGGCATCTCAGATCTCAGAAGGTAAGTGCCAATGAACTCTGAAGGGGAAATTGGCATCTCTTAATAATTGCTTCTCAGTTGTTTAAGCAGATACACCAGTATAGATTTCAAGGTATCGCACTTTCATAAAATGTTGAAATCTTTTGCTGTCAATCCTTTCTCTTAGATATAGGTTTATACCTTACAAACAAATGGCAACATTTGGTATGCTATTCTGATTTCACCAATTGCATTTGGTGTTGTGATCCTGGTATATCAATGCTTACAAAGTCAAAACACTAAAAGTATGTGGAAAGTATGTGGTCCAGCTAAAATTAAACATGTTAGATGAATTGGCTTCAATGGGAGATTTCAGCATGGGGGACTTAAAATGTTTAATTTTAGCTAGACTGCACCTTGGAATAACCATGCCTGTGTTAGGCTATGTGTGTACCTTGGGTGGGTTTTAACATCTTGTCCCCTTGACCCCAAGAGCCAAGCTGCTTTTGGGAGAATTTCAAAATTGGTGACAGGAAAGTGGCAAACTCTCATGTACACATACCAATTCAAATGTTCCTGATTTTGTATTTTATATGTATTAGGTTTAAATTATTGTTAATCACCTTTTTAATTTTTAATAGGAAATATGGGATGAAAATATAATTGTTGTTGTTGTTGTTATTATTATTATTATTATTATTATTATTATTATTATTATGCTTAAGGAATCTCTGAAAGAGATGTGATGATTTGGTACCAAAATAATTGGCAAGGCAATAGTGAATGGGAAAACAGAAATGAAAAGTTGTTTTTATTGGTGGGGGTGGCATTGCATTCAGTCTTAGAGGTATAGCAGAACTCTTAATAGCTTTATAATACACCAAATGCAATTATGTGGGTAAAAAGTGAAGAAGAAATCAGAAGCATTATCTAACCCCCATTAATCACTGTTAAATCACATTTATTTCAATGACGTGTTAAAGCACATGCCTAAATCATTCCTATTGAGATCCGGGGGACAAAAATACTTATTTTGGCTGGTTTATGCACATGATCAGCATCTTATGTAGTTTCTTTGGAAAGCTGATGATGAATGCATTGACTATATATGTGACTTCTGTACTTGAAGGTAAGATTGTTCACTTCTTCCTCAGTTGGAATCAAATCCTGAAAATACTTTCTCTGTTATGATGCATGAATATTTCTGGGGCTGGTGCATGCTGAATGCCAGTTCTCACTATCATAGTATCATAGAGTTGGTACATCAAAGGTCTTCCCCCGCTGATTCAGGAAATCCACTACAACGGGTAGCCATCCAATCTCTACATTAAAATCTCTGGCAAAGGAGAGTCTACTGCCTTTTGAGGCAGACTGTTCCACTGTTGAGCAGCTTGCACCACCTGCAAGATCTTCCAAGCTTTCAGTCTAAATTCTTTTCCTTGTAATTTGAGCTCATTGGTTCAAGTCCTGCCCTCTGGTGCAACCCAGAACAAAACTGCTCCAAGATCTATCTGACAGCCCTTCATGTACTTTGACTTCTATGACTTGGGCTCTTGGGCTTTATTGGCTGCTATTGCTTGAAGCATGCTGTTAAAGAACTACCATCTGAAGGGAGAATGGATATTGTATGCTGACTTAGGGTGTGCTGCTGTCAAACTGGATTTTAGTTTGCATGGTTTCTATTTTTTCTCAGTATTGGAGCATTCCTACCAAGATTGTGTATCTGTGAAATCACTTTTATTCAGAATGGCAGTTATTCAAACCCAGTGTCAGCCTTTAAAAGAAACAAACACACACACACACACACACACACACACACACACACACAACTCACCTCATTTCCCCCTACCATTAGGATTTTTCAAATCTCTGCATGGAGAGCAACTATCTCTTTTATGATGATTATTTTAGCATATGTCTCTGGGAGCCCTTCCAAACATTACATTATAAAATGGAGCTCTTTGGTATGTGTGGGGAATAGATTTATAACAGGTGCATAGGCTAACTCTCTGTGGTTGAGGTGTGGAGTTGCTTTCAGCAGATGGCAGGTGTTTAGTGCTTTTCCAGAGGAGCACCTGACGCAAATGAGCAACGTTGTGGAAATTTGCACAGATGAATGAGATAAAGACAGCAAACGGCTTTCAATGTTAAGGGAAACATCCATCTCTGTAAAGATCTCTGAATGCAAATGGTCCATGCCTTGAAACTGCTGTCATAGACACAATTACAAGGAACGAAACCCTGTTGATCTTAGTTTCCCAGCAAAAATTATTCACTTGAATGAATGTGAATATTTTGGATTCAGAAAGGGTTACAGGTCCCATCTGAATGTTGGAGAGGTGCACTTACATTTCCATTGTTACTTTGAAAGGCTGCAGCACACTGAGAAATTAGGAGCAACCTTTCTCAAATCCTTTGCTTACCCATGAAGACAGTCTGTTTTCCAAATACTGAGAGTTCACGCAGGTTCACGCACTGCACATTACGTATCTCCACCACACTTTTCAATAGCATTTGGATTATTTGCATTTCCAAAACTTTGCTTCGTTTCCGTAAGGGGATTTTGAGAAACTTGAGGACTACTCAATTCACAAATCTGGCCAGATAGTTTATGCTATATAAAAAACAACAACCGTAATTTTTAAAAAACCCTACAAGTAATGTGGAATCTTGATTTTCTCCAGGGAAGATGGGATGGCTTGGTCCATGAGAAGGAAAGTCATGTTAGAAAACAAACGTCCCCCCCAAATAAGGGGGAAATTACATCTTCAGTTGTTATACACACATGTATATTTGACGTGCACAAAGCAATTCCGTTTGTTTCCCCTTTTTCATACTAAAAGAGGCCACCTACGTTATTTATGGGAAATGATTGAATACAAAATCAAAACTGCAGATCCTTCATTAGTAGTGGAATCCTATATATGTCTCCTGAAATGTAAGTCCTATTAAGTTAATTAGGGCTTAATGCCTTGTAAGTGGCTGTACAATTCCAGACTTACTACAAAAATGCAGTGGATTAGTGAATAGTCTAAACTGTGGACTGAACCCTTGGTAAATAAAGGAAATAAACTATGTGAGACAGAAGTTCCTAGAACGTCTGACTGACTAATCTAGGTGCAAAAACTGTAGACTGCTTAGAATTTTTGCTACAGTTAAGCCCTGTAGCTGGATGGATGGATGAATGAATGAATGGATAGACAGACCTATTGGATATAGCGGCTGTGTGACATGTTAGCAGTTTTTTTCATGGGGAAACTCCTAAAAGCATCTGACCAGCTTTCCCATACCTGGTCTGGTTAGGCACCAATTGTGATTTCTGGGGCTGATGGGAATTGTAGGTGAAGGGTGGGTCAGACAAAAGATTATGTAGTAACCCAACTTTCAGCTGCCTTTGGAAGTTCACAAGCAGGTTATGAGGGGGATAGTTTTCCATTATTGTTTGTCCCCAGCATCTGGTAATCCGTGGTAGAGTTTGGCTCCATTCATAGACTGTGAAACTCCTAGCGGGGAGGACTTGGCAAGTTTTGGGACTGTTGCATATGGTGGAGGCATTGAAATGGGCCAGCGGACAGAAGTCTAGATTTTTCTGCCTCCTGATTCAATTCTAGGGGGCCAGAGAGAACTTGAATTCCATTGTCCCTGTCAAGAAATGCCCCAAGTTTATAAAACCGCTCACTATTTTGAGTCAGACCCAACTCTGGTCTGATTCAGTTAGAGTCAGCCTGAAATACTAGTAATGTTAGCAAATTCTCAAGGGCTTTTAATTTGAATTTCTCCAAATAAGAATTTGCCACCAATACTAGCAATCAAAAGTGTGCAGTTGGAATGGGGAACATGGGACTGTTCAGATGTTATTGACCTCTCGCTCCCATCAGTCCAGCGAGCATGGTCAGTGGTCAGGGATGAATGGAGTTAGAATCCAACAACATCTGAAGAGCAACATGTTCCCCATCACTGATGTAGCTCTCATGATCTGTAGAACTACCTTCTGTGTATCTTGCTAGAATCAGAAAAGCTTCAAGTTCTCTGTTCGTGGGTCATCCCAAAAGCTTCAGCTGTATTTCAAATTGGCATTGCTATTTACATTGCCTTTACAGCTCATATCTATATCTATATCTATCTATGAATCAGTTCATTTGAGAGGTAGAAAATTAAGAAGATATGTCAAATCTCAAATGTTTTTTCCTAATAGTCATCCACCTCTCAGGAGTTGTTGCTGAAAAATCTGAAGATAGACTTTGTTGCATGGCATTAGAAATTCATGTTTTGACCTCCCTTTAGAGCAGGGGTCAGCAAACTTTTTCAGCGGGGGCCCAGTCCACTGTCCCTCAGACCTTGTGGTGGGCTGGACTATATTCTGTAAAAAAAAAGAGAACAAATTCCTATGCCCCACAAATAACCCAGAGATGCATTTTAAATAAAAGGACACATTCTGCTCATGTAAAAACAAGCTGATTCCCAGGCCGTCCGCAGGCCGGATTTAGAAGGCGATTGGGCCGGATCTGGCCCCCGAGCCTTAGTTTGCTTACCCATGCTTTAGCGATTCAGGACATAATTAATCAGAATGTACTCCTGAGTAAGTAACCTCAAAACAGTGCTCTTGCTCACTTCTAGTAAATCTCAGTGGGATTTGTGCAGGAGAACTTCCTAATACCTTGTATGTTCCAAACGCCTACTATTGGCTTAAACTAATTTTGTAGTACCTCATTTTTTTAGTGGTTTTTTTTTTTTCAGATGGTCCCCATTTTTCCACTATAAAGTTACACTGCTTAGGTTGGACTCCCTTTCCTTTTCTCTTCCTTTCTGAGTCATCTGAATTCTCATCAGAAAAGAAAAGATCACTGCAATCTCCGTTCTGACACTGCGTACACTGCAAAAGTAGAACTGCCAGGCTGGTCAGAAGGAAAAATCTAGAACTGTATCATAGTTTAACCAAGAGGTGATTTCACAACTATACAAAATTAACATACCTTTCTGTCACTTCTGCATGGCCATTCTGTCTTTGAGAACTGTGAGCTGCTTGACTGAATACCTGTGGGTGCCTTCTCTTTTCTTTACATTACAATATAGAAATCTTGCATGTGAAAATCTGCTGGATTAGCTGAAAATGATGACTAAATTTCACTCTGTCAGTGATCAAATGAGGTGGAGGAAATCAACAATTTGTGTCAGACGCCAGTTAAGAGACAAATTTATGCCACTTGCCAAACAGCTAGAAGCTAGATTTGTGCCAGATGCCAAGCCAGTGTTTTATGTAGCTATTCCGAAATAAATTGCCATGAGGGAACATATGCTTGCTGTCAACAGTGCATGACATTGCCCTTTCCAAGCTGTGTTGCTCTAATAAAACTAACACATGTGTACCTTTCTATGTGTAAACAGATGAAAAATCACTCTAAACATGTTTTAGGGATGCAGGTGGTGCTGTGGGTTAAACCACAGAGCCTAGGACTTGCCAATCAGAAGGTCGGCGGTTCGAATCCCCGTGACAGGGTGAGCTCCCGTTGCTTGGTCCCTGCTCCTGCCAACCTAGCAGTTTGAAAGCATGTCAAAGTGCAAGTAGATAAATAGGTACCACTCCGGCGGGAAGGTAAACGGTGTTTCCGTGCACTGCTCTGGTTCGCCAGAAGCGGCTTAGCCATGCTGGCCACATGACCCGGAAGCTGTACACCGGGCTCCCTCGGCCAATAAAGCGAGATGAGCGCCGCAACCCCAGAGTCGTCCGCGACTGGACCTAGTGGTCAGGGGTCCCTTTACCTTTACCTAAACATGTTTTCAACAACAGAGCATACAGCAACCAAAAATGATCTTGTTCTTTTTCCCTGTTGCTCCCTGCTTTTAAAGAGAGAAAGAATAATTTGTTTGGAGTCATTTCGTAACCTTTTAGCACCCAGTGTAGATGGGATTATCAAATATTTGTACCTATATTGTTGAAATTTCACACACACACACACACACACACACACACACACACTTATAAATGCCTTAAAGTTTGACCAGACTTTATTCAAGCAGGAAATGGCAGATTTCCGGTGTGTCTCATGAGCAAAGCCCTCCTTCAAGTGCTATTACATGAGCTCTGCCCTCTGAATGCCGTGCTCGGCCATTTCTTAAAAGCAGCCACCGATACCAAGACCCCTTTCTCTTTCCACTCACTTGGAGAAATGAAGGCTGATGGAACTCACTTGACTGTGCGAAGCACGAAACACTGTTTTTAAGCGAATCTTTCTCCATTATTCTTTTCACCAGTGAGTGCCAGTGAACCTGAATGTGAACCAGAACCTGAGCCAGAGGCAGAAACAAAAAGAGAGCAGGAAGACGGGGCAGACTTGGAGCAGGGGGCAGAAACACCCCAAGAAGTAGAGATTGCAGAGGTGGAGCCAGGAAGCGGAGTGGCGCAAGGTCCAGAGCAAGAGGCAGAAGAAGGTGCAATACTAAGTGAAAAAGAGAGGCAGAATGAAGAAGTGAATGAAAAAGACAATTGTTCTGCATCCAGCATTTCCTCAGCAAGCAGCACTTTAGAGAGGGAGGAAAGGGAGGAAAAGTTGGCCAGTGACAATGAAACTGGTAAAGTGAAGTATTTTCTCCATAACAGTTGACCTTTTTTTTTTTGTAATTTTAAAACAGCAGCTTCGTTTTAACATCTGTTGTAAGAGAAGTATTGATCTGTTTTTGTTTACTGGTGTGTCCTCCATTGAAAGCCTCGGTTCCTAGACATTTTGGGCACAGGGTTCAGTAGAGGTTTTCTGCGCAGACTGACAGAAGAATCAGAACTTTAATTAAAAGGCATTGTTCCATGGGGATAGTATTCTTGACGTTTCCTTACTAGTTAGAATCCCATTACAAAAACAGCCATTATTCACATTTCAAGACTCCTTTTAAGTTCGCCTTTAGGAGAGGGTCTGGACTTGTGGAAAACCTTCCCTGCTATTTCCCCCTTGCTGAAATGTGACGCTGCATGTTTGGGACCCTTGTCTGCCAAAGAAGTTTTGCCATTTCCAGAAGCGTAGGTTTTTCCTGAATTATCCGTTCACGTATTACTTCAGATCCTAGCATGACAGTTCACTGTTCCCCACTTTAAATCCCAGACACCTGGCTTATAATTGCATGTGGCTTCTGGCTGAAAGGCTCAGAGACTGGTGCGCTTTTGCATATGGCGCTGGAGTAGGGTTCATCATTGTTCCCTCCTCGGTTGCTGCCTTCTTTGCTATTGTATATCTCTCCTGATTCCATGTTATTAACTTAATACAGAACATCTTGTGCATCAAACTCCCCCTTTTCCTTAAAACGACAACTCTGCAATAACTGTTTGACAACTTATTGCTATGTTTGGAGGGCTTTTGTCCACACGATGCTTCTTCCATCCCTAGTGGTCACTCTTAGCAGGTTCAGAGTGAAATCACAGTCACAGATGGCCTTGCTTCTCATTACCCTTTCTAAGGAGATAGGCAAGAGTGCTTATCAATAGTGCCTCTCCTTGTTGTCTCTGCTGTCCTTCTTTTTATCAGATAATCGGATATTCACATTCACTTTTATGGGGCTGCAGTAATTAGGTGCAGATTTCCACTTTCCTCAATGTAGAATGTGTGTAACCTTGGCAGGCGCTTCTCTTTTAATGTTTTCAGCATGCAGCATATGCAGCCCAAGAGGTATCTGGGAAAGAAAATATTTCACTCTCTAGAAGCTATGCAAGAAAATGAAAATCACATTTTGGACTCTAGTGTCCAAACCCACTCTACAAAAGTCCTGGACTATGATTAAGTTACTGCCCTTTTTAAAGGACTCTTTCTTTCTTGACACATACCCAAAGGATGCTACATTCTTATTAAAGTTTCAATTCTCTGTACTTTTGTAAGGATCTGAATGTATGAAGGGGAGTGAAATAGTTAGTAGAGAGTTGCTACACATCTGCATCTCATGCAGGTTTCCGCATTTGTGCTGTTCTTCATGGGTCTGACCTTTCTAAAATCAAGGCCAGGCAATGGGAGGAAGTACATGGTCCCCCAGATCTGGCCCAGGAGCCCAAGGTTTCCCAACCCTGCAATAAGGAAAATGAGAAGGCGCCTTGGTTTTGCAAGAGAATTTTCTGACTCTTATTTCCCGTACAGTGGTGCCCCGCAAGACGAATGCCTCGCAAGACGAAAAACTCGCTAGACGAAAGGGTTTTCCGTTTTTTGAGTCGTTCCGCAAGACGAATTTCCCTATGGGCTTGCTTCGCAAGACGAAACTTCTTGCGAGTTTGTTTCCTTTTTCTTAAAGCCGCTAAGCCGTTAATAGCCGCTAAGCCGCTAATAGCCGTGCTTCGCAAGACGAAAAAACCGCAAGACGAAGAGACTCGCGGAACGGATTAATTTTGTCTTGCGAGGCACCACTGTATTGTCTTTTGCTCACTTCAGTTCTGGAAAAGGATTAAAATAGATTGGCATGATTTTGTCATTTTCAGCAGATGCTACTGAGAATACTAAAGAAGACATTTATAAGAGCGCAAGAGGAGAGGTTCTAGATAGGCATTTTACTCATTTTAATGAAGAGATGAAAGGGGAGATGGGTACAAAATTAATCTTGAGTTGTAAATGACTTGAAATGCCCTCACCCTGCACCAGCTTGTTAGCAGGCCGAAAACTAGGGGCTTCCTCTCAGTGTGTTGGGGAGAGCCGCAAAGGGGAGCAAGACGTTTGCATCACTATTGTTGTAAGAACAAATACAGTGGTACCTTGGTTTAAGGACAGCCCTGTTTGCGAACTACAGTCATACCTCAGGTGAAAGTTGCTTCAGGTGGAGTGTTTTCAGGTTGCGCTCCACGGCTACTGAGAAGTAACAGAACGCGTTACTTCCGGGTTTTGCCATTCGTGCATGCGCAGGCACTCAAAATGATGTCACGCACATGCGCAGAAGCAGCGAATTGTGGCACGCACAGACGCGGGTTGCGTTCTCTTCAGGATGCGAACGGAGCTCCGGAACGGATCCCATTTGCATCCAGAGATACCACTGTATTCAGTTTACGAACTCCGCAAAACCGGAAGAAGTGTCCCTGTTTGCGAACTTTACCTCTGTCTAAGAACAGAATCTGAACGGTGGAAGGGCACCGGCAGCGGGAGGCCTCATTAGGGAAAGCGTGCCTCAGTTTAAGAACAGTTTTGGTTTAAGAACGGAATTCCAGAATGGATTAAGTTCATAAACCGAGGCACCATTGTACTTGATAAGAGGCTTCCCTTCTGAGTTGTTTTGAGGCTTTCATTCCCTTTGGGGAAGTCCTGAGACTTTCTTTTCACCAGATGCTGAATGGGAACACAATCAGCTTCCTCTCTGCTTCCTCCATTTGTTAAGTGTTCAGACATTTCAATAAACCAAACCTAAAGAAAAAGGAGCTAATTGCCCGTCATGGGGATCTTTTGGGGTTTCATGAACACAAATGGGTGTTTTGAGTACAGCTGATCTAGAAATTCTCAAGCAAGCTGTTTTAGCTGAAGATGTGGGCCTTTGGGGAAGATGAAATGTTTCATGAAAGCTCTCCCACCTCCGCTTTTTATACTGCCTGTTAGTACCTACGCGGAAGGGACACGGGTGGCGCTGTGAGTAAAAGCCTCAGCGCCTAGGACTTGCCAATTGAAAGGTCGGCGGTTCGAATCCCCGCGGCGGGGTGCGCTCCCGTCGCTCGGTCCCAGCACCTGCCAACCTAGCAGTTCGAAAGCACCCCCGGGTGCAAGTAGATAAATAGGGACCGCTTATGGGCGGGAAGGTAAACGGCGTTTCCGTGTGCTGCTCTGGTGCCGGTTCGCCAGAGCAGCTTCGTCAGGCTGGCCACGTGACCCGGAAGTGTCTCCGGACAGCGCTGGCTCCCGGCCTCTAGAGTGAGATGAGCGCACAACCCTAGAGTCTGTCAAGACTGGCCCGTACGGGCAGGGGTACCTTTACCTTTAGTACCTATGCATGACTTTGATAGCAGTTAGCCTGCTTCTCTTGTTGCTGCTGCCCAATCCATTTTTACCCAGAAATTTCCAGATTGAGGGCACAAAGTGTTGCCCTTACTTTCATGTAGCTTGATCTAATTGGCTGTATTGCATTGGCATCATGCAGCAAAACCTCATTGCACTGGCATCTAGTGAAATCGCATTAGCTAAAATGCATTGACCTAGAGTCTAGGACTTAGGCAAAGAGATTATAAAAGGAGTCTGCATAAAATCTGGCTTATTGTAAGTCAGGAAGCATCCCAGAGTTTGGCCAGGCAGGCTCAGAAATTCAATAGCTCCCTTGCTGTCAAAGTCCAGAATTTCCCTGTGCTGGTAGCTCTAGAACTGTTCAGTAATACAGTGTTTTTTGTTCATGTATATGAACTTATTGAAAGCCCAAAAATTTTAATTGGGCACAACGATATAAGGAAGTAGGATTTTTTTTCCGTTTCTAAATACATTTTTAATCAATTTTCTTAATTTTCCAAAAACAGGATAATATAAGAATACTAATAATTTGTTATTTCTACGTCGCCCATCTGGCTGGGTTTCCCCAGCCACTCTGGGGGGCTTTCAACAGAACATTAAAAACAGAATAAAACATCAAACATTAAAAACTTCCCTACACAGGACTGCCTTCAGATGTCTTCTAAAAGTCGGATAGTTTATTTCCTTGACATCTGACGGGAGGACATTCCACAGGGCGGGCACCACTACCAAGAAGGCCCTCTGCCTGGTTCCCTGTAACTGCACTTCTCGCAGTGAGGTTAACCACCAGAATACCCTCGGCGTTGGACCTCAGTGTCCAGGCAGAACGATGGGGGTGGAGACGCTCCTTCAGGTATACTGGACCCATTTAGGGTTTCAAAGTTCAGCACCAACACTTTGATTTGTGCTCAGAAACGTACTGGGAGCCAATGTAGGTCTTTCAGGACCAGTGTTATATGGTCTTAGCAGCTGCTCCCAGTCACCAGTCTAGATGCTGCATTCAGGATTAGTTGTAGTTCCCAGGTCACCTTAAAACTGCATTTGGAACCAAGTTGTGCATTTGGACCAGGTACTCCAATTTCTAGAGTAATAAATTGCAAGAAACTATCTGAATCTGTGGGTTGGGCCAACAATTCTCTGGGAATGTACATAACCATTCTGGAAGAACAAGTGGTTACAAGATGAGAGCAACCTTACTATTGTGGGTTTTCCCCCCTTCGTTGCCACCTGTATCTAGATGTGTGCAGGAGAACTCCTGAGTGCCCTAGATTATTGCAGAGTTAAAAGTGGAACAGGCCAAGTGTTTGTCCAACTATATTCAGATAGCTTTTCAGTGAAGTTTATGAAATCAATTACGTTTGCAATACACAGTTCAGTAGTTTATTACGCTATAGAACAAAAAGGAACAAACCAGTTTGTGTGGGGTTGTCACCAGTAATTCAAGCCATAGGGGCAGAGCAATGGTATTGAAGGGCTGGACAGGCATACAGCAGTACATGCAAGCACTACATCCGAAGCAGGGCAGAAGCGGGACCAGCAGAAGGCCCCAAGGATCAGGCCCTTTGGCAGGGATCTGTGGGGCTTTGGATCCTGCAGATCGAAAGTCTCTGGCACATCCATGCCATTTCAAGGTCTTCTGATGGTTACTGCCAGCAGCAGCACACCATCTATACTGCCTTTGCCTCAATCAACAGTTCTCCTCTTTGCACCATCATACCTGCCCTCCCTAGGACTCTGGCCTGAAATTATCAATCCAGCTGAGAAAACCAGGCTTCAAATGTGTTTCCTTGCTTTTTCAATAACTTCACCAATGCCCAAAGTCGTTGAGTGTAAGATACCAATTGGTTTACAGTTATCATCCAGGTGATGATGTTTACTATGCACAGAACAGTTACCATGGCAGTATGTTTAGAACAACATGTGTGGACACGGGTGGCGCTGTGGTCTAAACCACTGAGCCTCTTGGGCTTGCTGATCAGAAGATCGGCAGTTCGAATCCCCGCGATGGGGTGAGCTTCCGTTGCTCTGTCCCTGCTCCTGCCAACCTAGCAGTTTGAAAGCACGTCAAAGTGCAAGTAGATAAATAGGTACCACTGCAGTGGGAAGGTAAATGGTGTTTCCATACGCTCTGGCTTCCGTCACGGCGTTCCGTTGCACCAGAAGCAGTTTAGTCATGTTGGCCACATGACCCAGAAAGCTGTCTGTGGACAAACACCGGCTCCCTCAGCCTGAAAGCAAGATGAGCGCCGCAACCCCATAGTTGTCTTTGACTGGACTTAACTGTCCAGGGGTCCTTTACCTTTACCTTTTACCTATGCACAGAACAGTTACCACGGCAGTATGTTTAGAACAACATGTTGGCCATTAAAAATCTGGGGGGACATCAAAAGATTCAAAGCTACTGAAATTATATATGTTTTGTTTAGTTTTGTTAATGAAAGCAAAAAAGCAATATCAAATACATAGTTTTATCTTTTTTGTTCCTTAACTAAGCTTTCACCTGAAAGATTTCCCAAAACCCAGATTGTGTAGGACCTAGGAATATGCTGTATTATTTCTAACTCTCCCAGACAGCCCCATTCATTCCAAGTTCCATATGTTGTTGTGCATGTATTTATGAACAGGCAAGAGGGCCTTCTCGGTACTGGTGCCCACCCTGTGGAACGCCCTCCCATCAGATGTCAAGGAAATAAACAACTGTCTTGACTTTTAAAAGACATCTGATGGCAACCCTGTATCAAGAAAATTTTAATGCCATTCAGAGTGGCTGGGGAAACCATACCCAGAGGGTGGGGTATAAATAATAAAATTGTTGTTGTTGTTATTTGAACAACCTCCTGACCCAGTTCCGTTCAATGTGTGGTTTCAGGTCCATGGTTACAGACCATTCAAGATGTTGGTGTGAATGACCAGTGCAGCAACATTCTCAATAACAAGAGGTTCATGTTGGACATGTTGTATGCCCATAACAAGAAGCCCAAGGATGAAGAAGATAAAGAGCTGGAGGAGAAGGAGGAGGAAAAGGAGACGGTGGAGGCAAGTGAAGACTCTATCACTAGCCTGGCCAGTAGGATCTCAGTTCTGAAGGCTACCAAACAGGCCAAAGATGAAAGTGTCAAAAGAATGGAGATTGGGAGTTTGGACAACCAGGGCAGCGTCAAGGCCTTTGCAGAAAGATTCAACAATGGTGAACTGGCCAAGACCTCCAACTTTCCTGAGAGTGATTTTAGTGAAAAGGTCTCTGAAAAAACACCAGTGCAGCCTAAGAAGGAATCTGACTATATCTGGGACCAGCTCATGGCCAATCCCAGAGAACTGAAAATCAAAGATATGGATTTTACAGATTTAAGGGATGAGGATGATGTGGACATCTTGGACGTGGAAATGGGTCCTGGTGACTCCTTAGCTCCCCCTCCTCCACCCCCACCTTCCTTTTTAGGTTTGCCTCCTCCACCCCCTCCCTTGTTTTATGGGTGTCCTCCTCCACCCCCACCCTCTGGTAATTTATTGGCACCCCCGTCCCTCTTTGGCATTCCTCAGGGTTTAGGATCGCCCCCGCTTCCCAGAGGTCAGCCAGCCTTTATAAAAAAGAAAAAAACAATCCGTCTATTTTGGAATGAGGTGAGGCCATTTGAGTGGCAGTGTAAGAACAACAAGCGCTGCAAAGGATTCCTGTGGTCAAAACTGGAGCCTATTAAGGTGGACACTTCCAAACTAGAGCACCTCTTCGAATCTAAATCCAAGGAGCTTCCTGTCACCAAGGTATTTCTCTTGATTTGCATTGAGTTTGATCATATTTTATGTGTCTAAACCAAATCTGCCAGCTCTTCATGATAAAATAATTCCAAGAATTGTTGCAAAATTTCCCAATATAGTTAAGGCCGTTTTGCTTTACAGCTTGCGGACCATGTTAGCTATTAAGAAATGCTCCAAAATAGGTTTGATTCCTTAAATGAAGTCGAATATTCTGTGCAACATCTGTACAAGTAGTCAACCGTAATTTTCTAGTTGATTTAAACTGGAAGAAAGGAAGCCTCAGTTTTCTTTACTGTTTTCTTTGCCTTTTATCATTTAAGGCAGGCATAGGCAAACTCGGCCTGCCAGATGTTTTGGGACTACAATTCCCATCATCCCTGACCACTGGTCCTGTTAGCTAGGGATCATGGGAGTTGTAGTCCCACAATATCTGGAGGGCCAAGTTTGCCTAAGCCTGATTGAGGACCTTTTGGGCAGACAGATGAAAGGTGCTTCTGGATTTGGGCAGAGGAGAGGCCTGAATCTGAATTCTAGTTTTTGAGGCCTCGTTATGCAGTGACTAATTTTAATGCATGTTATTTGAGAACTGTTGTTTATTGTTTATGCTGCGAGATGTTTGCAAATCCACCACATATTTTTACTTTGGTTTATATAAGTAGTAGAAGTAGATGAGTGGGGTATAAATAATAAAATTATTATTATTTATTAACTTCTACATAATTCTGTATAGTGTAGGAATAACTCTAGTGCAGGAAGTAAGTCAGATGTGTTGTCGTTTGTAAAACCTTCTGTGTCCATTCCCCATCTGTATATGCAATCTATTTATATAATGGCCTGGTCCACATGTCACATTAAACCAGGGGTGCCCAAACTTTTTCAAAGAGGGTCAGATTTGATGAAGTGAACGTGTGTGAGGGCCGACCAAAGTTGTTGACCTTTTTTTTTTAGGATTTTAACCCAGGAAGTAAATTGCCAGAGGGGCTGGATTAAACTGACCGGTGGGCCGGATTAGGCCCCCAAAATGGACTTTGGGCATGCCTGCATTAAATCATTGTTAAAGCAAACTATGATTTAATGTGAACATTAAATGTGAACTGGGCCTTCCGTTGAAGCATTTCATTCCACTTGACAGATTTCCATCTGATGCGCTCCAGTCACTCACACACCCTGTTAGTAAACCGTGTCATAGAACTACCTCCAGTCTTTGTCTTTCTAGACCAGTGACTGTGGATGGTGGGAGTTGTAGATCAGCAACAATTGGAAGCAGGCATGTCAGCTCTAGGGTGTTGAGACATCTTCTTTAGCCCCCACAGTATTTGTTGGGAGGGAGCCAGGCCCCCTCAGTGTTAAGAGGGTGCAGGAGACTGAGTGTGGAGCTGAGCACAGGGCAGCTTCAGTATCTTACTCCTCCAGAGCGCTCAGCCTCTTCCAGACAATGCAACATGGCGCACACACATGACACGCAACACATGAGATGTCACACGTGTGATGGGCCCCCTCAAACTTGGGGCCAACTTGGAGCCTCTATCTGAAGAACCAAAGGTTCCCTGTGCCAGCTCTAGGCCTAGCGTCCTGACAACTTCTAAACATCGGAGAAGTTGTATTTTGTAGACCCTGATGCTGGGAAAGATGGAGGGCACAAGGAGAAGGGGACGACAGAGGACGAGATGGTTGGACAGTGTTCTCGAAGCTACAAACATGAGTTTGACCAAACTGTGGGAGGCAGCGGAAGACAGGAGTGCCTGGCGTTCTCTGGTCCATGGGGTCACAAAGAGTCGGACACGACTAAATGACTAAAGAACAACAACAGACATCCCAAAACATCTTAGCATATGGCTAAAGAGGTCTCAACTCAATATACTGAAGCCAGATCTCTTCCAGTCAATAGCTACAGAGATTATAAAGGCTTCAATGTGCATCTGCCTTGGGGAGGGAGGCTGCCTCTTCCTCCTGCCCCTAAAGTTTATCTGACTGGGGAGGAGAGAATTGGTCAAACTACTGTTTTTCATATCTACAGGTTCCGTAGTTTACTTTAGTTTCTCTATGACCATAGTAAGTGCCTTGATTGTCCAACACTGGCTTTGATTCTGCAAGTGTGGTTGGAATTTGTACTTAAATTCAATAACCATATCAGAAAAAGCCCTGTGCTTTCGTAGCTTGTGCATAAATATATCAAACTCTGGTATTTCTTCAGTTTTAGCGAGTTGAATGTCCATGGGCCAAAATTTTAAAAGGTTTTAACTGCTTAGGTTGTCATTATCTTTGATTAAAGCATCGTTCTGGATCAAGGGTTGTCATGATCCAAGCACAGGAAAGCACAATTAATCCCACTTACCTTAACGTGGGTGGGTTAAGCCCAGGCGTAACTTTACCCCACAAAATTAACCATTTCGTGGCAGAAAAAAATAAGCAAAGCTTGATATTGGAGCCTGACTAGATAGCGAAAGAGAACGTTGCTTTAGTTGAGATTCCTTCATTGCATGGTTGGCCCTGATGACCCTTGGAGTCCCTTCAAATTCGACGATGCTATGAAATGCAGAGCTGGGGGGGAGGGCATGAGAAATGTTCCACATCCGACTAAAAAGAAATGTAATAGGCAATGGGATGGGAAACGTTACTAGATCCCTTTTCAATGGGGATATAAACGTCTGTCATAGTTGCTTCCTTTGGGTGAGTAGAGTATAGATAAGGCGATAACATAGGCGTTATTCCTATATTCTGTATGGAGTGTGTTTAAATGCTTTCATCTGTGGCCAGGACAGTGGTGCCCTGCAAGACGAATGCCTCGCAAGACGGAAAACTCACTAGACGAAAGAGTTTTCCGTTTTGGAGGTGCTTCGCAAAACGAATCTCCTATGGGCTTGCTTCGCAAGACGACAATGTCTTGCGAGTTCCTGCGGGGTTTTTCCCCTCCCACCCTTTTTCTAAGCCGCTAAACCGCTTATCAGCTGATCCGATCAGCAGATAAGCCGCTAAAAGCCGCTAACAGTGCTAATCCGCTAATCCGTCAATGGGCTTGCTTCGCAAGACGAAAAAACCGCTAGATGAAGAGAATCACAGAACAGATTCTTTTTGTCTTGCGAGGCACCACTGTATAGTAAACTAACTGCCTAGACAGCTTAATCAGGAACTTCAACTATATCTGATGGATCAGAATTCATTGTAAATTTGGATTACTATAGGGCATGCAGTAATCAACCAACAGTATTGTAAGCATCACTGGTGTATCAGGGGAAATGAAACAGAACCAGTAAACGCAGGATGATGACGGCGACAACGATTATATTTATTTTTTGTACCCCACCCATCTGAATGGGCTGCACCAGCCATTCTGGGTGGCTTCCAAGAGAATACCGTATTTTTCGCTCTATAGGACGCACCGGACAATAGGACGCACCTTCTTTTAGAGGGGGGAAAACAAGAAAAAAAATTCTCCCCCTCTCTGCCCAGCGCCCCTTCAGCGAAGCGGCAGGAGGCGCTGCGCAGAGAGGCGGAGAATTTCCCCCCTCTTGTTTTCCCCCTCTAAAACAAGGTGTCGTTTCAGTCGCCTTCAGGCGTCTACCTTGGAAGCCTGGAGAGCAAAAGGGGTCGGTGCCCACCGACCCCTCTCGCTCTCCAGGCTTCAGGTTCCTTTCGACCTGCTCATTGGGGCTGGCAGGGGGAAGCCCACCACCAGCCCCAAAGAGCAGGTCGGGAGCGGGAAAAGCGCGCAGCGGAGAGGCTCCTCCATATCCTACCTTCAGCTGGAAGGTTCGGGGGCTCTTTAGCCCCCCCCCGGCTCTCTCCAGGCTGGAATGACCGCTATAAGGCTCTGCATAGTCGCGTGTCACTCTCCAGATGGAGAGGCGCGGGGGCTTGTTAGCTAAAGAGCCCGCGACCTCTCCGGCTGGAGAAGTGGTGTTAGGCCCTGCCAGCCGCGCCCATCCAGCTGATATCACGGGGCTATGGGCTCCATAGATGCACACACATTTCCCTTATTTACAAAAGTGGATCCAGAGCGAAATACAGTATAAAAAAACATAAAAAGACTGGCTAGCTTTTCAGATACCCTTTAATTTTCAGGGGTCAGCAACCTTTTTCAGCAGGGGGCCGGTCCACTGTCCCTCAGACCTTGTGGGGGGCTGGACTATATTTTTTGGGGAAAATGAATGAACTCCTATGCCCCACAAATAACCTAGAGATGCATTTTGAATAAAAGCACACTTTCTACTCATGTAAAAACACCAGGCAGCCCCCACAAATAACTCAGAGACACATTTTAAATAAAAGGACACATTCTACTCATGTAAAAACATGCTGATTCCCGGACCGTCCGTGGGTTGGACTGAGAAGGCGATTGGGCCGGATCCGGCCCCCAGGCCTTAGGTTGCCTACCCCTGCTTTAATTGAATAACTTTTTTGAAGAAATGCCTGAAGTAACTGACATTATTGTTTGAAGTCTTGTTTATTCTGTTAAATATTACTCCAAGAAGACCCTAAGTAGAGCACAATAAGGCCAACATCTACATACAGTATATTATTTTTAATGTGATCCCCTTGAGATCACAAGAACTTTTGCAGGAAGCTCTTAGAAATAGGAAATAATCAATATATTTTTGTGGAATTTTTAATCATATTAATTTTTTTAAATAGCCTTTTAAAAATATTAAATTATGTAACTTAAACTTCAAATTTAAAGTAAGTCCACCATATGCTATATCATATTAAAACCCATGAAGTTCTGAAGAGATTGGTTTTGAAACATCTCAATTCTGGGCTGAGCTTTTAAGGTTTTTGTGTAGCCCTGCAAGGCCAAAATTGACAATTTTTGGAAATTTCAAACCCTCATAACTCAAAAACAGAATGAGATTTTTTTAAAAAAATTAGATTTAGATTTAGTTCTGATTGTTCAACAAGTGTACAAAATTTTAAGAAAGTTGAAAAACATGAGGTTAAAAAAAATCATCCAAAATTGGACCACTTGATATGGAAAGACCTGTCACTCATCTGACGGAGCAGGTTTCATATGCCCCCAACCTAAGGTGTGAGTACTAATTCTATTTAGGTTGTATGTGGGTGTGTGGGTGTGCGTGGATGTATGGAGAGTCTGACTGTAGATTGTGACATCCAGGTTAGTATTTGAAATTCTCCGGTACATTTCCTCCTTTTGAGGTGGCCCACTCCTTGCCCCACCAATAGGAATAAGTGACATGGATGACCCACTCATCCTCTCCTTGGAAGACACTTTTTTGAAGAAGCCATTTGCCATACAGGCCCCATGAAGACCGTAGAGGAATTACTGTATTTTTCCATGTATAAGACGAGCTTTTTAGACCCCAAAATGAGGTTCAAAATTTAGGCTCATCTTATACACGGGTAGTGCTCAGGGGGGCGTGCAAATGGTTTTTTGGTGCGAGCCCGAGATTGTAAGTGGTGATTGGCCGATTGATTGTTGGGGGGGGGGGATGCCAAAAATTGCTCTCCCGCCAGAACCGCTCGCGTTGCAGCTGCCTGATCGCCGCCATTAGCCCTCTTATTTGCCCCTGCGGCAGCCAATAGACGCATTCTGTTTGAGAACCAAGGTACGACTGTGCTACCACAAGGGCTCCTGTTTAGGCATTTAGTTATGCAATGTTGAATGTTATCTGTTAACTCTGCTTTATCCTGTTTCCCCTTTGTTTTTGTCTAAACCAATTCATGAACCAAGAACATTGACCACTAATAATAGATCAAATGTTGCAGATATTACAGCAATCTTAATTGTGCTGTTTTTGTGATACGCAAATGACGTGAGAGGGCTTGGTCTATTTATTTGTATCGTTTATTACAATCCTTGTTTATAAAACCCAATAAAAAGTGACTCTAATAATATTAATAACTGTAATGGCAAAGTTTTCCACACACCGTGTCAAAGGCTGCAAGCTGTTCTGAGCACTCTTCTGAAAATGCACAGATCCCAGCTATGTGTCTGCGCTGATGAGACACTGCCATGCCATCTAAGTGGCCTGTATTTCTTGGTTCAGTAAATCTGAGCAGGTGCTTGACAGAGGCATGCCTGCGGAAATTGGGATGGAGAACTCACACTTAAGATCAGAAGAGGGAAACTGAGGTTTGCTCATATCTCGCAGCACGTATTCTGAAATACAGCTGCAACAAATCTTATTTCTGTTTCGGAGTCTTACTTTGTGATTGCGTGTTCAGACCTTTAAACCTCCCCCTTAAATAAATTCAGACAAGACTCAAATTTTAGGTTTGGTTTTTGGCAGAATTTAGGCCACAACTTTATTGATTACAGCAAGTGAGTGGTTGCATAGGCTCTGGTTCAACTAGCTCCCTGCACCGTTGCAGGTAGCGCTGACCCAGGGCACCAGTATAGGTCAGCCTAGGGTGAACACCTGGAACAGCGGAAAGCCGGGGTCAGGCTAGTCCACCAGCCAGATGTCCCCCTGGACTCAGGCATGGGCACAACCCCCTCACATGGTTGACCAAACCAGTGAGTCCCTGGATTCCTTTAACGGAATACCCTTCACATAGGGATGACGAGACCGTTCTCCCATCCCTATCACCTGAACCAGAGCCTATCCGCAACCTTACAAGTTGTGACGATTTGCTACACGGCAGGCGAAACCCAAATGGCAACAGCCAATCAGCCAAGTGGGGAAAATTCCTGCCATGCCCCTGTCCCAATGACAGATGACACACAACGGCATAGCAAGGTCAAGCGCAAAATGCCTAAAAGTAGGGAGAGATGGGTGGGTGTTCCAATGAACGTGTCAAAAGAGGAAGCTCTGGGTCACGTGCATAGGTATATATAGGTCTCTTGATCCGTTTAGCCTGCGTCCCATTGGCCTGATTGAACCCAGCATCGAGGGACCTACCAATTAGGTGTTGTGGCTATTCAATCAAACCCACCCACAACAAAGGGTTTGGTTGCCAGGTCTCACTGCAACACAGGTCTCTTTAAGGGAGGACCCGATTTCCCACAACGTTTGACTCTAATGGTTACTCCCCCCATGCTGGCTGTCAATACATTTCTCATTAGCATTGCAACGAAGTCAAGCAAAGGTTGCTTCTGAAGGGATCTTGCAGCAGAAGTGATGCTTTTGAAGGTTTGGAAACCAGTAATGGCAGAGTCCATGGTTACCATGATTACTGTGCTGGCAGGGGCTGATGGGAGTTGTCAGCCAGAAATTGTGGCGGGTAGCAGATTGGAGGAGGCTAGCCTACAGCCTGACACAGCAATTCACATTTCACCTGTTGAATTTCACCTATTGCTGGGCATCAGAAGAGAAAATCAGAGATGTCTGACACTGCGCAGCAGCAGCTAGCAGTTTTCCAGCATGACACATTCTGAGCAAGCCCAACCTGGGTACTGAGAATCTAGAACTTCTATAGCAGTGCTCTTAAGGGTCCACAACCATTAACTCACCCAAGTTCCTTTTTGAGGCTTAGAAATGGGATTATGGCCCAAGTATAAAAATAACTAGTTAGATAGCAAGATTCCTCTCCCTTCACTATAGCTGCTCCTAATACCTAGTGCTGCCAGTATGCACATATGCCATAGTCTTTTGAACCATCAACAGCCCTGGAGGTTGTCACCATTGTAGATTGATGTCTGTGTGGATAATGCAGTATAAAGTCATTCTGCCCTTAAAAGTGTTAGAGGTTGCCTGCCGAGTGTATAAGCTTTGTTAAACAAATAAATAAAATAGCTCCCTCCCCATTTTCCTCCCTCAGAAAACCGCTGCAGATGGCAAGAGGCAGGAAATCATTGTGTTGGATTCGAAGAGGAGCAACGCTATTAATATTGGCCTGACAGTACTGCCCCCTCCAAGGACGATCAAGACTGCAATTTTGAACTTTGATGAATATGCCTTAAACAAGGAAGGAATTGAGGTATTGAAGGGGGAGGGACCAATGAGCAGGGCTGGCACCTGAGGGAAACCACAAGATGGCACAGGCTCCCCTGACCAGGGAGGAAGGGGCAAGTTGTTAACAAGGGTGGACTAAAGATCTACATTGGGAACAAGGGTGAGAGGAAACCAGCAGGACCTCCTACTCGCCAAGAGGCCACTGAAGAGGCTCCCAGCCTTGGGGAGGCTGCCAAAAAGGAGTCACGTTCAGCCTCCAAGGAGCACGCTTTACCTGTTGCTGCCACCATGGCAGCAGGAGATGCATTCATTGGAGGCCAGATCTGCTGCCTCTGTGGATCCTGCCACCTGAGGTGATTGCCTCACCTTGCCTCATGGGTTGCCCTGAGGTTTAAGCTAAGAGCTTATCATTATTTATAGGTGCTTGGGGTTGGACGTATATCCACATTCTGCAGCAGTGCCAGTCATATGTTTGGAACAGGCAGGGAAGAGGACCCGTGTTGTGTTCATTCCCCCTTGTTTCCTGACCTCCTGAACACATGGTTGTGATCTCTGCTAGCCCATCGGCCGGGCTTGTACAGGTGTCGTCCCTCATACTGCCCCAGGGCCTGCACACAGAACACCTGTTTGTGCAGATCGATCCTTAGTCAACAACGGACATGCAGGCACAAACCCCCTTCCTCCAAATTGTGCTGGTGGTAGCCAGCAGTTGTAGAAAATGGTGTATAAATTTATTGTGTCAGCTGCTTTGAAAAGCATAGGTGGAAAATTATGAAGATGGTAATGTGATGCTTAATATTTCTCAACACTTGGGGCTTTGTGTCTTCAGAATGTATAAAAAAAAGTATTTCAACTGTAGTGAGCACAGATTAGATTGGATTTTTAGCCTTGTGTATGCAGTTGGTCATTTTTCTTGTCTTTCTAGAAAATTCTCACCATGATTCCCACAGAAGAGGAGAAGCAGAAAATTCAGGAGGCTCAGCTAGCCAACCCTGATATTCCTCTGGGCAGCGCTGAGCAGTTCCTTCTGACTCTTTCTTCCATCACTGAACTTTCTCCTAGACTTCAGCTCTGGGCATTCAAAATGGATTATGAGCTTGTGGAAAAGGTAATTCCTAGTTATCAGAAGCAGACTGGTTATATGAAAGTTACTACAAATTTGCTTCTGAGATAGTAATCACTCAGAAAGGTCTATTGACATAGAGTAAAACTCAAGCTACACAGTAAGGAAATCTGCTATTCTTTCCTCTCCCTTTTGAAGCCTGAGCAGGTTGTGAGTTGGGAGTGGAGAAAGGGGTTTGCAGAGACTTGGTTCCTGTAGTTTCCCTATATTTTCGCCTCCAGGTGTGAAAATGTAGCTTAGTGAGGGGAGGGTTAATCTGAGAAAAAACAGGAGGGGAAAAGGTAAGCACACATTCTCCACTGCAACTCACAACTTACCCAATTTGATTCCACCCACCCTTTGGGAACACTCCAAAGAAAGAATAATAACATTGTTTATACAGTGCTACCTCTGGTTACGAACGGGATCCGTTCCAGAGGCCTGGCCGTATCCCGAAAACTTCGTAACCGGAGGCGCCCTTCTGTGCGTGCACGTGGCGCGACTGAGTGCTTCTGCGCATGCGCGTGCGGTGAAACCCGGAAGTTGGGTTTGCCGCGACCGTAACCCAAAGATTCTGTAACCTGGAGGTTACGCAACACAAGGTACCACTGTAACCGGAGCCTAAATGTGTACACTTGGCTTCTGTGACTTGAGTCTCCCCACTGAGATCCAGCAAATGAGTGTTGTCTTCTGGAAAACCAGTTTCTAGAACCTCAGCTGTTTGCAGAAGGAGCCGGTCTTTGTTGGTGGGAAAGGCATCCCCATATCTCTGGCCCTGACACGGAGATTTGTATGTGTGGTGCCAAGCCTATCCTAAGCCTGCTTCTGCTTCTCTTCTTTATGGTTGTGGCTGAACTCAGGGCAGGTTTCCCCTTTTTCCTTCACACTGATATCTAGCTAATGGTATGAAGTGTGTTAATAATACAGCCCTTGTGCTTTTGATGTGGGGGGCGGGGGGGGCAGAGCATTGTCCAGTAGATTCAGTTAATGCTTGATGAATCGAAAGCAACTATTATTATAATTCATTGCTGGAGGTCTTTATTCTTCTTTCTCAAATGCTAAGAAGGAAAAAATAAATAAAAGAGGAATCATTCTCATGAGACCGAGTTAAGGAATTTGATGTGCCTGATTTCAGCTGGGATAAATTTGTGGAAGTCTAGTAAATCGAGAGTGAAGATCAGTGCTGCACTGTTTGAAAATTCCAAATTCTTACAAAGTGTAGAACAAAAGGGGAAATGGGGCCTTAGGCTAACTAAACCATTCAGGGGTACATCCTATAGCAGCCTTCATGTTTCTCAGAATCATGCATCTTGCTCAAATTAAAAAGCAATTTAACAGGCATGTCCGAGTTTAAATGACTCCAGTTTACTGTTAGGGTTGAAAGTGGCACTAACTTTGGGAACATTCAGTAGCTGAGGAGGGAGAGACAGCCTTGCAATTTTACATTCTATGGAGCATAGCTTGGGAATTTTTGTGGATAATTAAAAGCGCTGAATTGATACACGATGTGCTGCATTTTCTTTATTTCCTGTTAATGTCAGGAGGTTGCAGAACCACTTTTGGATTTGAAGGAAGGAATGGACCAGCTTGAAAACAACAAAACTTTGGGATTTATCCTTTCTACTCTACTAGCCATTGGAAATTTTCTCAATGGAACCAATGTAAGCTTTACCTTCACTATTGCCTAATTGTTATTGCAGCGGTTCTGACTGGATAGATGAGGACATATGAAGAAATCACAGGGAGGGAGACCTCTGAGAAGGAGGCAGTCTTCAGTTTGCTCTCTTTCTCCCTGCCTTGCATAGAACTGTTCTGAAGAGAAAAGAGAAAAGAAAAACATGGGTTGAGAGCATCTGCATTGGAACCGTGGTGCCACTGGAGGTGGCAGAAATGCTGGCCGTAGTAGCACCACCACTGGTCAGACTCGTCCTGTCTCTTTGCCTAAACTGGCTTTGCTTTCTCGTCACATGGAAATATGCTGTAACCTTGAAAAATACGTATACGGGTGTAGAGAAGTGAGGCCCTGCAACAGAAAACAATAGCCAGGTGTTTATCACAGCCAACCCATCAGTTTGTTTATTTATTATTAATTATTACATTTGTGATCTGCGTTATCATGCCAAAGTGACCTAAGGTAAAGGTAAAGGGACCCTTGACCATTGGGTCCAGTCGCGGACGCCTCTGGGGTTTTGGCGCTCATCTCGCTTTATTGGCCAAGGGAGCCGGTGTACAGCTTCTGGGTCATGTGGCCAGCATGACTAAGCCGCTTTCTGGCGAACCAGAGCAGCGCACGGAAACGCCGTTTACCTTCCCGCCAGAGTGGTACCTATTTATCTTCTTGTACTTTGACGTGCTTTCGAACTGCTAGGTTGGCAGGAGCAGGGACTGAGCAACGGGAGCTCACCCCATCGCGGGGAATCGAACGGCCGACCTTCTGATCGGCAAGCTCTAGGCTCTGTGGTTTAACCGACAGCGCCATCCGCATCCCCAAAGCGACCTACAGCCATACAAAAGATAATAAACCTCATATAGATTAAAACCAAGAGGAAAGAGAAATACATTTAAAAACACCCCACCCACTTCTAAAATTGTCCACGGATAGTTGAAGGCCAAAGGTCTGGTTATACTGAAATGGTTTTTGCATGGCGCCTAAAGATATGTAACAAAGGCCTGCCAGGCGAGCCTCCCTGGGGAGAGCATTCTACCTCAGAAAAGGCCCCTTCTCTTGTTGCCACCCTCTTGTGGAGGACAAACCCTCCAACATTTCTCTGATGAAAATAGGGACCTCCTATTACATAACTACTACTACTACTACTACTACTTTACTATTTAGACCCCACCCATCTGACTGGGTTGCCCCAGGCACTCTGGCTGGCTTCCAACATATATAAAACCATAATAAAACATTGAACATTAAAAAACTTCCCTATACAGGGCTGCCTTCAGATGGCTCAGGGCTCGGATAACTCCATACCCTCACAACATTTCTCCAAAAATAGGGATGTCCTAAGGACAAGCAAAATTGGAATCAAATTAGAAACTGGAATGGCTTCTGTAAATCCAGGACTGTTCCTGGAAAATAGGGACACTTGGAGGTCTGGGAGGAGGCACACAGAAGGGGCTCAGATAATGATTGCAGGGTCCAGGTCAGGTCATATGGGGAGAGGTGGTCTTTGAGGTATTGCGGTCCTGGGTCATTTAAGTCTTTGACAAAATACAAAGCATAAAATATGAAATCACAATCACAATATAACCTATTATTATTTCTTCTCCTCCTCCTCCTCCTCCTCCTCCTCCTCCTCCTTCTTCCTCTTCTTCTCAAACGGTGATAGAAACTGCAGCAAAATAACACAAAGGTTTAACCTCTGCATGGCTGCATGGATGGCATCTATCTTTTAAGGGAACCATAGCAAATTTGCCATCTAAAATATTTGGAGGGGAAACAGTAAAATGGGACAGTAAAATGCAACACAGTTAGAAAGGGGTGTTTCTGTTTGGGTTCTCTAGCTATTCCTTCCTATTCCCAACCCCATCTGGTTGGGGTTTTTTTGTCTCCCTCCCCCTGCAATACTCAGTCAGAGTGTACTCAGTCCTCAGTGGCCTGTTTGGGCTATTTTAGGGTGAGTGCAGCATTTAAGTCCTCACTGGGTTTGTTGTTTTTTTGAAAAAAGAATTAGCTCCATTAACACTGATGCTTTCAGTTGAATGTTAACATGTAAACTATGTATAAATCTGATTTTGCAGCTGTTTAGTAACATGTTCCATTTTAACCAAGGGCCTCCTGAGAGCAGTCTCTTTCCCGTCAGATATGGTATATTAAAAAAAAAAAATTAAGGAGATTGGCATGTAGAAGTGAATGCAACATGTTGCTTTTCTTTCTTTTCTTTCCTTCACATAGGCCAAAGCCTTTGAACTGAGCTACCTCGAGAAAGTTCCAGAAGTCAAAGATACAGTGCATAAGCAGTCTCTCCTTCATCACGTCTGTACGATAGTGGTGGAAAAATTCCCAGACAGCACGGACCTTTATTCTGAGATTGGGGCCATCACGAGGTCAGCCAAGGTACATTTTTGTGTGCAAGGAAATCTCCTTTTTCTATGACAGAAGGGATCTTTATCAGTTTCTGTAAGGAACAAAAAATGGTTTAAGTGTAATATCCAAGTTTTGCTTTCATGCTGCTTTTCTCCATTCTTCCTTATAAACAGTGAGCTTAGAAATATGACTTTGTTTTATGTCATCCACTTGGAATGTTTAGGATATAGGAACTTTCTCTGGCATTTTCCCTCATTTTTCTGTCAAATGGTTTTCTCATCAAGGGGTTTGTTGTTTTTTTATCAAGCAGTCTATTCCGAAGTGAATGCATTGCTTTTAAGCTATAAAGCAATTAATAGAATTTTTATCTGTCAGAACTATGCCACCCCAGCAAGCAGTTGAGATAATCTTTTAAGTTTTGGCTTCTCTTTTGTGTACAGAAAGCAAAGTGTGATGCCTTCTCAGTTCACAGGGAAACAAGACAGGTTCTTGGAAACGGTACAGTGCTTTTGCATGACACCCCCAAACTGTGAAATAAGCAGTTTAACAAAATCTGCCCTCCTGCATCAGCTTCTCAGCAATATTACAACACTGTATATCCATAGATTCTTTTAGAAGAAGAGAGGGGAAATTAGGCATTGAGATAGTACAAGCATCTATCAGTCACTAGCGGTATATAATGAAGAGCTGGGACTGTATAGATGAGAAAAGAGTAGAAGGGAGACTATATAACCCTATAAATGTACAATAGATTTTGAAAGAAGCAATACTCACGAATAAGCCTTTCACGGGGATGCTTCTTCAAGATTCACAACTGCGGACCTTTTGAAATGTCTGCATATTGTCACAAACATATCAAACCATTGGCAGGCAGACATTCAGTAGGTGGTGAATCATTATCTTGTTTTAGTTACTTTCGGATGTTTCTACATCAACTACCCCCTTACTTTCTAGGAGGAAAAAAGTGAGTGTTGTGGTGCAAAAAATACGGTATCTCTGATCCTGTCTGTATTTCCAGAGAGGAGAGGAGTTCTAAGACGGGTGTGTTCCTACAAACCTCTGTGGTCTGGAATACCCTGCAAATATCCTTCAGCTTCTCAAAAGGGCCCACGCCTACCTGAATTGTGTCACTTTGTCACAAGCAATTCTATTGCACCTGCTTTTTGTTTTCCATAGACTTCCGCTTGCCTTCACCCATGGAACCTCTTCCTCTTTTTTATTTTTATTATTATTATTATTTATGATACAATATCTTTATTGTTATTGTCCCATACAGAACAATGAAATTGAAAAATCTACATAAGGCATTGAAAAACCCCTTAAAATTCTGAAACCCAATTTTAAAATACAATAGACTACTATAGAGACTCCTTATACTGCGTTTAAAACCAGAATTGCATTTGGGTAGAAACTGTTTCATAGGCGGCTAGTCCTAGTCTTTATATCCCCGGTACCTTCTTCCAGAAGGCAGAAGCTGAAAGAGATCATTTCCGGGGTGTGCACTATCCTGCGCTATCTCTGCAGCTTTCTTATGGCATCTGGCAGCCTAGATTTGATCCAAGGTGGGAAGAGTGCACCCAGTTATTCTCTCCGCAGTCTTTACAACCCTGGACAGCATTGTTTTTTCCCTGGCCGTGCAGCTCCCAACCACACACACCTAAGTTAATACATTCCCCACATTTACAATGGTAAAATGCCATCAACAGGTCCTTTGAGAGATTGTTTTTCCAGAGAATTCTCAGAAAATATAACCTCTGCTGTGCTCTCTTCATCAGGTCTTTGCTGTTTTCTCCCCAGGTTAGGTCATCTCTCAACTCCATTCCCATTTTATTATTTATTGAATTTCTATACAGCCCTATAGGGACGCGGGTGGCACTGTGGATTAAACCACAGAGCCTAGGACTTGCCGATCAGAAGGTTGGCGGTTCGAATCCTCGCGACGGGGTGAGCTCCTGTTGCTCGGTCCCTGCTACTGCCAACGTAGCAGTTCAAAAGCACGTCAAAGTGCAAGTAGATAAATAGGCAGGAAGGTAAACGGTGTTTCCGTGCGCTGCTCTGGTTTGCCAGAAGCGGCTTAGTCATGCTGGCCACATGACCCGGAAGCTGTACGCCGGCTCCCTCGGCCAGTAAAGCGAGATGAGCGCCGCAACCCCAGAGTCGGCCACGACTGGACCTAATAGTCAGGGGTCCCTTTACCTTTATACAGCCCTATACACGTAGGGCGGTATATAAATTTTGAGCGTTTGCCTGAGCTGGTGTTAAGAGAGAAAAGATCCACCCCACCCACCTGATGAGGCGGCGGGGGGGGGGTGTTTCAAGCCATTTGTGAGATAATGGCCTCCTGGTTGTGTAGCAACAGTTAGCATATCTTGCCATTGTTGTGACTGCGTCACAATGCTGTGTGACGTTGCTAAGCAGCATACTCCGTCTCAATCAGAGGGAAAGGAACCTTGCTGCTTTTCCTTGCCATCCAACAGGAGAGTTTTGGCAGCAGCCTTTATCAGCTACAGACACTGCGGTTAAGCTCTCAGTTATCCAGATGTCAAGGTGGGATGAAGGAGAAAATGTAGATGTGGCGTGTTCTCAGGTGATTTAGTTGTTTGGGCAAGCTAGAATGTGAAGCAGGCTGTGGCTCTACAGCGCTGGCTAAGGGCAGACCATGGCTATGCCAGCCATCCTGTAGCCTTATGAGGCTTTGCCCTCGGGTGGGAAAAATATTGCGCCTGGGAAAGGGAAGTGGGAGTCAACAGACAACTCAAGGAATAGTTTCGGAAAAAAGGCTTTTTATTTCTACCAAACATGAACTAGTAGAAGGAGCAAGTGTGATAAGTCACAAAAAGCATGCACGAGTTCACAATCATGTGCACAAGCATATATACCCCTTTCCAGTTCCCTCCTCCTTTCTCCTCCCTCAGGAGTCCTGCTCCATGTTGAGGTTCCTGAGCATGTACAGAAAGCTGTCTTGGGACTATTGTGGACTCTTGGCACCCTTCCCAGGAAAGGGGTTTCATGGTTCCCGGACAGAAAGCAAGTTGCAATGTGGTTCTTTAGCAAGGCCAGAAGGCATGAGAAAGGCCTGAGAAACAATGGACTGTTCTCTACCTTTGTTACAGCAGAGCGGAATGTTTCTGATGATTGTGAACTCGTGCATGCTTTTTGTGACTTATCACACTCGCTCCTTCTACCAGATCATGGATGGTAGAAATAAAAAGCCTTTCCTCCGAAACTATTCCTTGAGTGTCTGTTGACTCCCACTTCCCTTTCCCAGGCGCAATATTTTTCCCACCCGAGGGCAAAGCCTCATAAGGCTACAATCCCTTTTGCCCAGTAAGGAGGCAAAACTGGTGCTGTGTTGAAAAGGAAGATTTGTTTGTTTGTTTGTTTGTTTGTTTGTTTGTTTGTTCATTTATTTATTTATTTATTTATTTATTTATTATACTCCACCCATCTGGCTGGGCTTCCCCAGCCACTCTGGGCAGCTCCCAACCAAATATTAAAAACACAATACAGTGGTACCTTTGTTTACAACCATAATCCGTTCCAGAGGTCCGTTTGTAAACCAAAACAGGTTGTAAACCAAGGCGTGCTTTCGCCAATGGGGCCTCCCCCCCAAAAAAAATTGTTCATAATAATAAAAAAATGGGTTGTAATCCAAAAAAAGGTTGCGAACCAGGACACGCACTTCTGGGTTTGACCTGTTTGTAATCCAAAACGTATGGAAAGCAAGGTACCACTGTACAGCATTAAACATTAAAAACTTCCCTAAACAGGTCTGCCTTCAGGTGTCTTTTAAAAGTAAGATTGTTGCTTATTGCCTTGACATCTGATGAGAGGACGTTCCACAGGACAGGCGCCACTACCAAGAAGGCCCTCTGCCTAGTTTGGATGCCTGAGTTTGGGTCCTATAAACTTTAGAATTCAAGTTCCTCTCAGAAACATTTTGTCTTACAGTTCTTTCCAAGTCATTCCAGTTGTTTTCTTCCATGCTGTCTAACCTTATTTCGTGTAGCTTTGTTCATTCCTATGATGCTTGAGGTCTTTTTCTTTGGAACTTTTCTTGACTTTTAGAAACAGTCCTTACTGTAGCAAGCCCCGTTCCCACTTCTCATAGCTGCCACAAATCAGTGTTCCTGAAGTTGGAAGCCATCCAGGCTCCTAAATGGCACAGACTCCAAAAAGAGGAGAAATCGTTATTTAAGAGAAATTGGCATAAATAAGCTTTGGGCATTTCCACTGAGGGTTACGTTACAGTTTGGATTCCACGTGACCCTCAAAACTCTGAAGAAGTTAAACAACAGAGGCTTAGGTGTTTCACCTGCATACCTTTTCCTATGTGAACTTCGGTGAGAATAAAAATTAATTATATCCAGGCAGCGAGGGAATTCCCAAGCCACAAAAGTGGTACATAAGCAGAACATTCAGAAACAAAATTATGACTCAAGACACAGAAATGTTGCAGGCCCAAATGTGGACAGTTCCAACAAGAAATAAAAGTGGGAGGCACCCAAAGTAACTGGTATGGCTGCATAAGGAGCTTGCAGATGAGCCGAGAGTTAAGAACTGCAAGGATAAGAAAGAAAAGAAAGGGGAGATCAAAAAGGAGGAGTATATATGAGTTGCAGGGTGAATGTCAGGCAGACTAAAGCTCAGAAAGAGCTCAGGCTTGCAAGAGAGGTTAAAAATAATAACAAAAGGTTTCATTGGCTGTGTTTGAAGCAAGAGGAGGGACAAGCTCATGGTAGGTTGTCCATGTGGAGAAGACGGAGAAATGCTATAGGGGGTCATAGAAAAGGCAGAACTGCTCAACGCCTACTTTGCCCAAAGTGGAAAGGAAAGTGATGCCCAACCAGGTGATAACAGAGTAAATGTTTATTTAGGGAAGTTTTAAATATTTAATGCTGGATTGTTTTTAACACTTGATTGGAAGCCGACCAGAGTGGCTGGGGAAACTCAGCCAGATGGGCGGGGTATAAATAAATTATTATTATTATTATTATTATTATTATTATTATTATTATTATAAATGGGTG